TATATATATATTGAAATCTTTAAAGATATGTTTTAGTCCCTTAAAAAAATTTAATCAACAAGGAGAAAATTGATTCTACCATTTCTAAAACAGCATAAACATGTGCTTTGGAAGTTATTTTTCCTTTTGTTTTCTTATTTAACACAAATAAGATAAGTGTTAAAAAGTTAAGATAAAATCTATAACCAAGATAACAACAATAAGAAAGCCTCTTCTATATGGATCACAAGACCAAGGTAAGAAAAGGGGAAAATGGGATGGGACAACACAAATAGAAAGAAAAATATTACCTTAACATGACCATCTACCATTGATGGATCCACTTTCCAAGTCATAGGGATTCCTACATTATTCCCAAGATATATCCTTAAGTTATTCTATATGTAAATTACAAACAAACCAAAAAGGTTACATCAAAGCTCTAAAATATCAAGATCCATGAATCTTACTGTTGCATGAGTAACAATCAAATAAACAGCATGAAAGACATAGAACAATTAGAAGTTTGTGGATGGCTATATTTCCCATGATTTCAAAATGGGTTGATACAAAGAGAAATATGATATGGTAGTAAAAGATTAAAGCAGAGCAAATTTGTTGACTAAGGATAGCAAAAAGGCCCTTTATATAGAATATTAATGGTAGCTATAAATTAAAGACTAGCTGTTACATATTGAAAAAAGAATAAAGTAGTGTGAACGATATGTTAAAAATAAACTTTTTTTTTATAGATAAGATTAAAAAATGTAAACAAATTAATATTAATTCATAAATAAAATGTATTATTTATTTTGTAGTCATCAATAACTTTATTGAAAATCATCAGAAAAATTAGTAATTAACTCTATCATTACAATATAAATTTTATATTACAAAAAAAAAAATAGTATACAAAATGCGTTATCATTCAACTTTTATCTTTATTATTTTTTAATAACTCTAAAATTTAATATTCTAATTTAAAAATAGCAATGATTTTAATTTGATTTGACAAATTTAGTGTGTGTTTGGTTCAAATTTTCAAAATATTTATCACGTTAGAATGGAAGCTATCAGTTATAGCTTTTACGTTTTAAACGTGATTTTTATTTTGATTCACGTTTTGAACGTGTAACCAAACACATAACTTTTATTCTTACACTACAACGAAATTAGTTTATAGCGACACATTTTATATTAACATAATATTTGTCATTAAAAATTACTTTTACGTATAATTATATTTTTATAATTGTTAAAAGTGCATTTATAAGTTATATATACATAATATATGTGTTGAATTTAATTCAAAATCAATATTAAAATTGTATATAAATATATATCAAATAAATGTATACCTATATGAATTTATAATGATATTTTTTATATGTCATTATAGTAATATTTATTGTAGTATTATATTTTTATAACTTTAAAATTTAATATTTTAATTTAAAACTAGCAATAATTTCGGTTTGAACTGACAGATTTAAATAGTGACCTTTATCATTTTTTATAACTCTAAAATTTAATATTTTAATTTAAAACTAACAATAACTTTAGTTCAGACCGAAAAGTTTAGTTGATAAGTTTAGATGACAACTTTTATTTATATAATTTTTTTATAACTCTAAGATTTAATATTTTAATTGAAAACTTGTAATAATTTTAGTTCGGATTGAGAAGTTGCATTAAACATCAACTAATTTTAAAGGATAAATTATACTTCTAGTCAATTATTTTATTTTTAAAATTCATTTGTCATTTATATTTTAATAAATTTATTTTGGTTTTTTTATCTCTTAAATTTGGATCAATTTGGTCATTCTAAAATAATTAATATTTTCAATTTTTTAACACAATTTTGAGATTTAAACCTTAATTTGAAATTTAAGAGACTAAAACATATTTGTTTTAAATTTGAATCAAATAAACAGCATGAAAGACATAGAACAATTAGAAGTTTGTGGATGGCTATATTTCCCATGATTTCAAAATGGGTTGATACAAAGAGAAATATGATATGGTAGTAAAAGATTAAAGCAGAGCAAATTTGTTGACTAAGGATAGCAAAAAGGCCCTTTATATAGAATATTAATGGTAGCTATAAATTAAAGACTAGCTGTTACATATTGAAAAAAGAATAAAGTAGTGTGAACGATATGTTAAAAATAAACTTTTTTTTTATAGATAAGATTAAAAAATGTAAACAAATTAATATTAATTCATAAATAAAATGTATTATTTATTTTGTAGTCATCAATAACTTTATTGAAAATCATCAGAAAAATTAGTAATTAACTCTATCATTACAATATAAATTTTATATTACAAAAAAAAAAATAGTATACAAAATGCGTTATCATTCAACTTTTATCTTTATTATTTTTTAATAACTCTAAAATTTAATATTCTAATTTAAAAATAGCAATGATTTTAATTTGATTTGACAAATTTAGTGTGTGTTTGGTTCAAATTTTCAAAATATTTATCACGTTAGAATGGAAGCTATCAGTTATAGCTTTTACGTTTTAAACGTGATTTTTATTTTGATTCACGTTTTGAACGTGTAACCAAACACATAACTTTTATTCTTACACTACAACGAAATTAGTTTATAGCGACACATTTTATATTAACATAATATTTGTCATTAAAAATTACTTTTACGTATAATTATATTTTTATAATTGTTAAAAGTGCATTTATAAGTTATATATACATAATATATGTGTTGAATTTAATTCAAAATCAATATTAAAATTGTATATAAATATATATCAAATAAATGTATACCTATATGAATTTATAATGATATTTTTTATATGTCATTATAGTAATATTTATTGTAGTATTATATTTTTATAACTTTAAAATTTAATATTTTAATTTAAAACTAGCAATAATTTCGGTTTGAACTGACAGATTTAAATAGTGACCTTTATCATTTTTTATAACTCTAAAATTTAATATTTTAATTTAAAACTAACAATAACTTTAGTTCAGACCGAAAAGTTTAGTTGATAAGTTTAGATGACAACTTTTATTTATATAATTTTTTTATAACTCTAAGATTTAATATTTTAATTGAAAACTTGTAATAATTTTAGTTCGGATTGAGAAGTTGCATTAAACATCAACTAATTTTAAAGGATAAATTATACTTCTAGTCAATTATTTTATTTTTAAAATTCATTTGTCATTTATATTTTAATAAATTTATTTTGGTTTTTTTATCTCTTAAATTTGGATCAATTTGGTCATTCTAAAATAATTAATATTTTCAATTTTTTAACACAATTTTGAGATTTAAACCTTAATTTGAAATTTAAGAGACTAAAACATATTTGTTTTAAATTTGAGAGAATAAAGACATATTTAAACCTTAAAATAATATATAAAGTTCACTAAATGAAACAACGAGAACGGCCCCACAACGGCCCGTCTACCTTCAGAACGGCTCATTCTGAAAGTAGAATGGGTCGTTCTGATTTCACAACAACCTGTTCCACATCCAAAGTAACACCCATTTACTTTATCCAGAACGACCCGTTCCAAAAACAGAACGGGCCGTTCCACACCCACAAACCAGTGACGAATATCCCTCGACATTTTCTATTTAAATTTTTTTCTTACTTTTAAAATTATTAAAATTCAAAACATGCCTGATAACACCGTGTAAATATACTTTTGTGGGCAAGAATCATCGGTAACACACTTGTATTCTCAAAGCGCCGGGACGTCAAGCGTTTTTCCACAAAAATAACCCTCTCCCAGCACCACCCAACAGCACCATTTAAACACAGAAAGAGGGAAGGTGGTACAGATGGCGCCTAGGGAGGAGGCGCCTTCAATGTACACAAATGGCGCCTGGGAGGAGGCGCCTTCAGTGTGTGCCACATCAGCACACTTGGCGCCTGGGGGTGGGGCGCCTTCAACGAAATTCTACCACGTGTACAACACGCCTCCCTCCAGCATTTTCTCTTCACCGTGCCACATCAGCATACATGGCACCTGGGGTGGAGGCGTCTTCTAAAAGACGCCCACCCCCCAGGCGTTTTCAATGCCACGTTGGCTCCTACGTGGCCAAAACTTCCTCTTTTTGTTATTTATTTTTTTTTTTATTTTTTTTTTGTATTTTTTTTTTTTTTAGATGGGTCAAAAAGCCGAGTAAAAAAGCTCTCAATCTAGACATTGCATATGCGTCTATGCTTATGCACAGACAAGAAAACAAATGTGTATTCCCGTTTGACAAAGGCATGTAGTGAACCTAACATGCAAAATTATATCATTCCTAGCTAGAGTTTTCAACAGCGGGAAGGATGCAAGCAAAACCATCCTCCCAAAAATTTAAAATACTCAAATATAAGAAAAATGGAAACAATGTCTGAACTTGAAAAGAATATTATCCAACCAAGCTTGAGTTCCACTCAAGCTAACTTCAGCAGTCTTCTGTTTATTTATGGTCCCTATTCACCGGCTTTCTAAAGTTTCTTAAACAAACTATTGAGTGTGTCATCATTGGACATTCTATGCCTTTGCAAGCTCAGAACCAGGAGCTGGAGCAGCCGCAGGAGCAGGACCACCAGTGGTTGGACTGGGAAAGGAAAAAAAAAATCATTAGCACATCGTAATGAAGAACACGACATATACTAAAGTATATACTAGCAATTGTCTAAACTTACAGTCCAACAGAGACTTTGAATGCATCATATATTCCCCATTGGGCTCCGGTAAGAGTTCCAATCATAACAATACGGAGGGGAAGACCACGTGTGAAGAGACCCCATAAACCAAGCTTATTCACAGCCTGCATTACAGTTTATAATATAAAAGAAATTGTCAAAAACAGATATAGAACGAAACAATTGCACTAAACATGCACCAAGTCTGACACTCACATCACCAACTGTTGCTCCTTTGGCGTTGTTCAGAAAAGAGACGAGATTATCAGCAGGATGAGACACAATTGCACAAAGTACACCAGCAATATATCCACCAGCAAAACTGACTCCAAGTTGCAGACCTTTGCTGCACTCGTTCTTCGGTGTGGGGATGGCATGCTTATAGATCAGCTCAACAATGGTCTCAAAAGAAGCAAACTTCATCATTGTGTCTGCAAGAAAGAACATTTTAACATCATTCAGGTATTATTATCTGGTATCAGGACCTTTTATAGTCAAAGTTATAAGATATAAATGAAACAAAGCTCAAACTAATTCAGCACAAGATATCAAACTTCACCAATTGCATCATTTCACAACAAACAAAAATACAATTTTAAAATGAGTTACGAGCACAGAACAAAAGTAATAATTCCATATAATGATAAAGGTGGCATAAATATGATTCACAAACTAACCATACTTTGCAATATGGAAACGCTGAGAATCAGTAATGCATTATCATATCATCATAATATAATGTAAACAAACAAAGACAACTTATCCTTCAACAAGAAATTGATAAAGAAAAAACACATAAAGAGAATGAAACAACTTTATCCTTCAATCCTTGGCAAGCTTATAAAATACTTCAACAAGAACTTGATAAAGAAGAAACACATCAAGAGAATAAAACAACTTTATCCTTCAATCCTTGGCAAGCTTATGAAATACTCTAAAAGGACTTTCCTAAATTTTAACCAGTGAATTAAACTGTAGTCATATATTGGTAAATAGAAATCACTACTAATATTCCTAATAATGTTAACAAGGCAAATAAGCATACAGGAATATTCAGTTTTCAAACGTGAACAGCACAACAGGAAAGTGCCACACAGGCTCAAAACTCACGGGGTGTTAACAGTTTTTTTGGATTGGGTTGGGTTTCATTCAAGGAACAATGGATTTAATTCAGTTGGATTGGGTTTTACCCAAACTCTATGAACCCAACCCCCTCCCCCCCCCCCCCCAAAAAAAAAAAAAAAAAGAAGATATATTGAACAGTTTGGATTGGATTGAATTTTACCCAAACACTCTGAAAACCTGAATCAAACTGTTTGGATGGATTGGGTAGGTCTGGGCTCACAGATACCCGTACATGTGAACTACCCTTACAATTGGGACATGAGAATTTAGTAACAATTAACAAGAAAATCCCCCCCCCCCCCCCCCCCCCCCAAAAAAAAAAAAAAAAAGAAGATATATTGAACAGTTTGGATTGGATTGAATTTTACCCAAACACTCTGAAAACCTGAATCAAACTGTTTGGATGGATTGGGTAGGTCTGGGCTCACAGATACCCGTACATGTGAACTACCCTTACAATTGGGACATGAGAATTTAGTAACAATTAACAAGAAAATCTAAAAGTTGAACTACAAGCTAAAAAACCTCATTCGGTATTCCAAGAGAATGAACAATGAACACAAACAGTCAATTCAACAAGAGGGTGCTAATAATTATAATGCAAACTACAAACTATATGATGGCTAACTTACATGGAATCTGCCGTCCCCACAGAGGCACTAATCCCTTGTACAGCCTGAAAATATAAGATGTTTCATTAGATCAAATCCTAATCTTAATTCCTGGCATAGATTAACATAAAACAACGTAGGAATTAACAGCATTTATAAATAAGCATACCCTAATGTTCCTTCAGATCTGACAAATTTTGGGAGCCCATCAGACAGACCCCTTGCAAAACCAGGCTGAGTTTGGACACGGACCTTCACAGCCTCGAAGGGGCAAAGAGCAATATCAGCAATAACCTCAGCAGATGCTGAACCAGCAAGGTAGATCAAAGTCTTGTACTTGCTTGCATACTCCGGTCCAGCAATATCAGAGTAATACTTCTTAAAGAACTCATAGAATCCAAATTTGCAAGCACCCTGTGCACTGTAACCAAGCAAGGTAGGTACCCAACCACGGAAAAAGCCCTTAACTCCCTGCTCCTTGAGCAAAACTCCAAACCCAGAAGAGATGCTCTTGTACTTAGCAGGGTCAATCTGAAACCAATAACCAATTCAAACATTAAAACAGTAATCCTACTAATAAACAGGCAAGCAATCACAATTCCAATGGCATGCGCTAGGCATTAACATTATGATTTACCTCCTCTAAAATAAACAAGAATAAAGCAAGTTTTATCAGTCATCGATGAAAAAACTAACTGCTGATATTCCAACACGTGCGCATAATATCAACAACTAATTTTCTTATCAATGATTGACATTACTTACTTTACCGCGCTGCTTACTCTAGGGAGCCGGATCCTCAACCTTCTGACACAAATCACAACTATTCATAACAGATTCAGCACTTCAACACCGACAATCTTCGTTGTCCTCTGGTGTAACGAAACGCCAAACGAAGATTCTCTCGCAGAATCATACTCAGCACCACAACAGACTAAAACGCTACTAGAACTACAAAATCCAAAGGACTTGATCGGAAAAAAAAAAAAAAAAAAAAAAAAAGCACAGCAATATTATTATTACACTCTAGAAAGACAATAATAGCGCATATCCGAAACTCGAATTAAAATTAAAAATAAAATAATAAAAAACAAATCCGACCTAGAAAAACCAAGAAATACGAGGCGAACAATCTTTAAAGTTTCAACTAAACACAACTACCTAACTTAACAGATCTAGTTAACGAAGACGCGAGATTCACGACCTAACATCGGAAGATAAATCAATCAAAGGAAATCGCAGATCTAAACCATAACAAAGCGAAATGCTAACAAACAAAGCAGAATCGAGCGAAAACAGCGTTAAATCTAAGCACAGCAAGCCAGATCGATAAATATATATATATATAGAGAGAGAGAGAGACCTGCATATTACACTTGACAAGGTCAAGAGGAGTGACAGCCATGTGAGTGAGGCCACAGCTGAGGATTCCACCGGCGGTACAGGCAGCGTAGAAAGCCGGCGAGTAGAGCTCGATCTTGCGGGACTCGCTGGGAGAGGGAATGATGAGGCCGCGGGATCCGGCGGCGGACGCGGGCGGCGGCGCGAGGGAGGAGGCGGCGGCGGAGTTGAGCATTTGGTGGAGAGGTAGGGTTTTGGAGGAAGAGGAGTAGATGAAGGAGGGGATGAGGGAGTTGCGGCGAGAGGAGGAGTCGGGAAGAGCCATTTGGTCAACGAAGCGTCAAAAGAAAGCGAGAGAGAAAGGGAAGGGCTCTTTCTCTCTCTCTACTTCTCACTTCTCACTGCCTTTGCTTTGGTTCCGAGGTTTTGGCACCATTGGATGTGTCTCGCCTCCTGCTTTATATTGCTCTTCCCATTTCCGTAACGGACGCTAACGCTATGCCCCCCCCAACTAGTCTCAATTACGGTCTTGACACTCGGGGAAATCGAACTTTAGGTACCTACTGCCTACCCTCTTTTCTATTTTCAAATCACAAACAAAACGGGAATCAAACGTCAAAAAAAAAACAAAAAATTGAAGCAAATATATACTTGAGTAAGAGAAAAGTTAGAAGCACTTTTTCTAACATTTTCTCATAATTATTAATTACAAATTACAAATTTTAATGTCGCTATTACTACATTAAGAAGCTTGTTAAATTAAGGGTAAAATTTGTGATTTTGATAAATTATAATTAATAATACTCAAAATTTTAAGAAAATGTTGCTAGAATTTCTTTTTAAAATAATGATACTCATTCATTTTAAAATTAGACTGTAGGGATGACAAGAAGGGAGAGATGAATAAAAAATATATATATAAACTAAGAGAATGAAATTAATAAGTATAATAAATGATGGGATGAGAAATAAAAAATAATAATAATAAATAAGACAGAAATAAATCATATGAGAAATCGAGTGAATATTTAATATTTTATATGCATTTGAACTAATTTTTTAAGTGATATAGATTTCGGATAGAAGAAAAGAGAAATACGGGGAAAAGCGCATAGAGAAAAAAGTGTTCCATTAAATAAGTGATGTAATAAAAATTTGAAAAGAAAAGAAAGAGAGAGGAAATAGATTTATTAATTTAAATCATGTTTGGCCATTTTTTTTTACTTTTTTTTTAAAAAAATATACTGAGCTAAACATATTTTAACGGAAATTTCTTCACAAATTTAGGATCTTAATTTTTATAAAAGAAAAATAAAAATAACTAATAAATGACTAGTTCCATTTCATAATAAGTATTGTGAACAAAAATATAATCTAATTTAATATGAATTTAAAAGTGAAGATTTATCTACTAAAAATAAAAGTATTTTAAAAAAGAAAAGTTTTTACATATATTTCTAATTTGTATCCAAATCCAAATATGTTTTAAGTCCCAAACTAAATATATTTTTTGGGTGTAGTATTAATTAACTTTTTTATATTTATACTTCTCATAACTCTCATAAAAAAAATATTCCTCATAACATTCTTTACAAAGTAGTTATTATATTGTATTATTTTTTAACAAATAAAATTAATCATAAAATTAATTCAATTTTCTAAAATTATTTTATTATCTATTCTTTTAAACTATATAATGTGTAAAATAATATAAGATAACACTTATTATGAAATAAAGGAATAAATGAGATTTTTTTATAATAGGACTAATTTTGGTATTATAAATACATTGAAAAAAGTTTAGTTACCTCTAAAATATAAGGTTCTTATAGCATTTGGAATGACAAAATGAAATAATTATCTCAAATACTCAAACAAATCCAAGAAAAAATATATTTGAAGAATTAACTTATAAATGCACAATTATCCATAAGTTTATAGATTTCATAATAAAATATGAGTAGGTTAATATTTATACATTTATGTATAAAGACATTATGATGTAAAGACGTTAAAACAACAATTAATTTAAATAATTTTTATTTTGTGGTTCCTCAAATAACTAATTTAAATAGTGTAAAGATGTTAATATATGTGTTTTCATTAATGAAAATAGAAAACACACTTTGTGACTATACAGAAAAAGTCACTAAATTATTGTGTATATGGAGATAATTGGCAATTATAATTTTATATATGGTATACTTAATGAATATTGAAAAACATGTTTCAAGTTTCAACACTAATGTAAAGAAAAGTCACATTTAAAGAGTCATACACTACAAGAAAAACATAAATTTTTTACGGACATAATTTGTCAGTAAAAATGAATATTCGTTGAAAAGAGAGAATTTTTGACGGATACAAATCTGTCGGAAAAATAGGTGTCAAAAAAAATCTGTCAAAAATAATTTAATCCATTAAAAATTTCTAACGAATGATTCTATGGTAAATATTCGTCGATAATTATCGACAAATATATCTGTCAGAAATTTTATCGGTATTGTTTGAAAACATTTATGTGATTCTGACGGATAAATTTGTCAAAAAATTTCTATTTAATTTTAATAAATTTATTAATGTGATATCCCTCATATTTGATCTCTCAAGAGCTCCATTCTATCACACTTCACACGATAACACTTCTCGCAACTTCTCAAAATATGTAGCTTGTCATTTACTAACTTTTTTGTTCTCTAATATTCTTATAATACAATTTTAAATTATTTGAAAAGATTGATTTATTTATTTGTGAATGTTTGCTATCTATAGATTTTATCTATTAACAATTTTTGCAATGTCAAAATTAGTATTAAATTGTATTTGTTAATACTCTTAAATTCCTACCAAGTGTTTTTATTCTATTGTTTCATCAATTAAAAAAATGTTAAAAAAAAAGGTTTACATGGTTTTGTTATTTTGTTTTCTCGAAATAAAATAATTTAATTTTTAATTATTTGAAAATAATTAAAATTTTGTTTTAAAACTATCTTGAAATTTCAAAATCAGAATTAATTTTGACAATTAAAAAAATATCTGAATTATTTGTAATCTTTAACTTATTTGTTCTACTCTTCATGTATTCAACATAACAAAAAATGAGTAACTTGTGAATAATTAGTTAATGTTTCGTTAAATTAATCAGTATCTCATGTAATACACTACATTTATGTATTGATCTCTCTCTTGCACATATTCCATATTTCAAAGCATGATCTTTTTTTAAGTTGTATTTTGTTTTAAATTCTGCAATTAAAATTTTCCAATCGTACCTATACCATATAACCGGCCAAGCCGATCACACCTAGTTCGGCCGACCCGGCCGAGTACACCTAGCACGACCGGATCAGTCGGCTCGACAAAATAGGGGTCGGCCGACTCGGCCAGCAAGATTCGCATACTCGAGGACACGGAGTCGAGCTAGGTAAATTAAGGAGAGATTAATTTATTAATACACCGATTTAACCCCCCTAATTTCTCGGGGCTCATTCCCTAATCGCGGCCCAATAACGACCACTATAAATAGACCCTCAACGAGGTACGTAACTAACTTGAACTACCGCATTTATTACGTCAATCACTTACTTGAGCGTCGGAGTGTCTTTTGCAAGCACCCCCCTACTCGGATTGCTTACAGCCAAACGAAGAGACCGAAGATCGAAGACCAAGATAACGATAACCCAGAGATAAAAGTGAAGTGTGTATCCTGATACAGGAACAATACCCTTTTTATTTTGTCTCTTTGTATTTTGTACCCATTATAATTGGACACTTAAAAAATGGACTCTAGTGTCTATAAATTTGTTGTGGTTATTAGAAACCATGATATTATTTTAATTAGTTCCTTTAACTGTTAAAACTATATCATCTTTTGGTAACTTTATTATTTATGTTTTACCTTTTATAACCACAACAAGCATTTATACATAAACTCATTTAAAGAAGTCAATTCCTCTTAATATTTATTTATTTATTTATAAAAAAAATCTAAAACTATTAAATAGAAAGCAAATGCATTATTTTTTTCTTGCACATTCAAAATTTTGAAACTCTTTCTTTCCTCTTCTCATCTCAAACATTCAACAACTAATGATGAAAGAGTGAAAGAAATTGAGATCCAAATAAGGGTAATACTCCTTAACAACCAATCTTGGTCTCACTTTCTCACTTGTGGAAAACTCTACTTATTGTTGCATCAACTTAGGGTTTTTCAACTCTACTTATTGTTGCATCAACTTAGGGTTTTTCAATTTATGGGTGGTTGCAATTTGTTTATGATAGATATGCAACTTAGGATTCTTATATCAAGCGTTTCACACAGAATCGTCATCTTAGGATTTGTCTATCCCAATTTGCTAAGGTTTCATTTGCCATCTTTTAGATTTTTGTAATGAATCACTTTTAATATTGTAATGGATGTGCACCCATTGCTTCCTCAATTTTTAATTATCTTAAAGTTTCTCTTTATATATTTTCCCCCTCATTTAGAATGTTTTTTGACTTCCATTTTTCTCTCTTCTATTTTTATTTCTCTCATTTTGTGTATATTATTGTGCAAAATTGCTATTTGAATATAATTACTTTGTTTTTAGCTTAATGTTGGTAAAACTTATAAAATTATAGATGTTAATTTCAAATTTAATATTTTTTCTTTGGCCTTGACTACTGTAGTTGTTGTTATTTAAATTTTATGATTTTTTGGGATTTTTATAGTAACATCCTTTTTTTTGTAAATAAGAAAATTTAATTATTTAATTATTATTTATTTTATTGACTTTGTTATTTTGGATAATTGAGATTTTAAAACAAATAAGGGTTGTTTATATAATAAAATGAATGAACTGAGTGGGTTGAGTTATGTGTGTATGGGTTAAGTTGAGTCTAAACTCTAAAAGTTCAACCAAATAACTTAGCCAGAGCAAAATAGAAGTGAGGGGTTTAAAGTTACACTTTAGTTTTATGCTCTACATTTTTTTGATGCCTCGTATGGAACTTGTACAATAAAACTTAGAGGAGTAGGGTGAGACCGCACCTTTTGCATAAACATAATATGTAAACAAGTAGGATGAGCAATAACCACACGCAACTATGAAATCCTGTCTGACTCATGATGGATCTTTGTCCTAGTGGGAATAGGTGTATTGCTTATCCATTGTATGATATTCAATGTTCCATGTACTAATAGATTGCCTTATATTTTTGTTGTGCTAAAGAGTTAATGCTACCACATGCATATAGAATTAAGGACATAAAAGTCCATGTGTCAAGTGTTTTTGAAATGTGCATTGAAGTGTGTTTGTGCTATGTTTGGTGTGTTTATATGTTACCTAGTTTTCTTATATGTGTTTTAACATGTGTGAGATGTATTCTCACTCCTTTATTTATGTTGTTTGTTATTGTTTGGGTTGAACACCAATTTCAAGTGAGCATGTTCAACAGAATGAGCTTG